CGAACGTGTGAGCTTTGAACCAAGCTGAGCTCGAGCTCAAGTCTCTAGCTCGAATCAAGCCTAACACAATTTCAGTGAGACGAGCTCGAATAATCAAGTATTTGGCTCGGCTCGGCTCAAATCCACCCCTAGATGCAATCCAAGAAGATCACCGATTGTCCAACTTGCAATTTTCGAGCTAGTTGGAAGCCTTTAAAGGGATCATAAGCTTATTGAGATAAACAACTAAGGCCAAGGTTCCCAAAAAAACTACCATTTGCCTTAAACAAAAATAGCTCATGAACTTGCATAACCCGAACAAGGGAATCATCCACCATTAAAGATGCAAAACATGCATGGGTCATGGCATAGACTAAAAAGCCTTTAGTTTGAAGCCTGATGAGGCAAATTCTTAAAACTCCTTTACTTTTTTCTCATCCACTCCAAAAAACATTTTCAATATTGTGCTTTTTTTTGTTACAATTTTTGCATTAGTACAAATTTCACATGTCTCCTACTAGCATCCTTACTATATAACGCAAATAATTGTCTTGGATTCACACCCAAACTACCATTCATTTTTTTTTCTCTTCCACTATTGCATTTGCACCTGCCACTCAACTAGTTTGTATATGTCAATTGATAGTGGCTTATTTGGTAGGATCTCGGACTGGTAACTGAGACTTGGGATCAAATCCCGCTGCCATCAAGGTTGGGGAGTTAAGGAGATATGGGGATGTGCTACCCCATGTTTTGTAGTCATGTGAAGCAAAAAAAAAAAAAAAGAAAAAGAAAAAAGAAAAAACTAATATGTCTATTAAAGCAAGTTAGGATATGCTCAGCAAAACCTGTCTCAACACACTTCCAACATGGATCTATGCCACACATCTTACCTTGAAACTGGGACTCACCATGTTTGCAATGTGCCGACACAGGTCATGTTTAAAGCAAAACCCTTAAATATGAGGCAAGGCTCCTCCTACAAACACATGACTAGGCCTCCACTCCAATAAATTGGAGTTGTCTCATATTCTTTAGGATGCATTTATTTGCAATGCAAATTTGACCTGGATACAAATTTTGCACTTGGTTTAATTTTGCATTTGTTTGTTTGTACATAACTATGATTTACACTCCTACTTGATGCAAAATCTATACTCAAGGTTCGAAGTATCAATATGGTACATCGTTATTGTAATGTATCTTGGCATGGGAAAAACACTAAATACTAACAGTTAATAGGTTTTATTTGTTTCATATGATATTACATGATGTGAAAACATGTCTAACAAAGTTTAAAACAAAACAATAAAAAATATATATAATTCACATATTAGGCCTTGTTCACTTTTCAATAAGTTACTTATGTGAGTAAGTATTTCATGGGAAACACTTCCCTGAATAAATGCATTACCCATATTCTTTTTTTTTTCCCAGGTAAATAAAACAATGACCATTTTAGCCAATAAAAAATCATTATTAAAAGGGGCATTTTGTGTCCCATCCAAATGTTGGCAACTTTCCCGCAAGTGGGAAAGTTATTTACCCACCTACGAGATGGGATACCTACGAAAATAAATTTTACCTTGTCCATACATAAATATAAAAAAAGAACATGAGTTTCTTGAATTCCATTGACCAAGTTTTCCCTCTCTCAAAATCCAAAAAAATGAACACACCCTTAAGAGTATCATACTTTGAATCCTGCCTATACTTTTTGTCTCATTTACATTCATTGACAATGCAATTTTTGCTTCAAAAAAACTGATGCAATATTTGCACTACCTCCCTCCTACATTTCTTTTTTCTCATTTAAAGTGGGGACCATATTATCCTGCTTCTTATATTACTTCCAATTTCCAAACAAGTAACCCTCCTCCTACGAGTGGAGATCTCCTCCCAACAAAAGCTACCCAACGCTCTTCCAACATGATCTATGTCCAAACATAAATCATGTTAGATGTGTTGGAACCGTTGTTGGCCTAGACAGTTAGACCATTTGGCCCAAGAACTGTCTAGACAATCGGTTCCGTTTCACCCTCAACTTGGTCCTTGGCAAAAAACCGTTGATTTGGTCAGTGACCCATTGGCTTAGGCTTTTGAACCGTCAACTTACTCAACCCTTTCAACGATTTTGGCCATTTTATTTTAATTATATATATATTTTTTAATTTTTTAGTTGGAACAGGTCATCCATTCAAATCGGACAGCTCAACTGTCAACTACTCTCGCCTCCTATCTCCCTCATATTCTGTTTTATATAAAAATTGGGGGGGGGGGGTGTACACTATTTTATTTCTTACAAATAAGACAAAGTCAAATCCAAAGTCTATACACAAATACAGCCATCATTTGCACTACAACCAAACACAACCTTACTAACAAATATAATCTAATTTAATTTCCTAACTCAAATGTAAAACTCAATAAAGAGGCTTTTAAGATATTACATTCAGTCATTCATGTAGGTAAAGGTTTCATTTCTAGATAAATTGTATTGTTCGATCACAAACCAAACATAATTTACTCTCATAAATAAAATAAAAAACTTAGGCTAAATGCTTCTAAAGACATACCATTCCGGCCCCGTTCACTTTTCAGTAAGTTACTTATTCAGGTAAATGCACTTTCCCAGGTAAGTGTTTTCCATGAAAGACTTACTTGGATAAATGCATTTACCCATATTCTTTTATTTCCCATGTAAATAAGGCAATTACCATTTTAGCCATAAAAATATATTATTAAAAGGGGTATTTTTGTCCCACTCAAGTATTGGAAACTTTCCCCAAGTGGGAAAGGTATTTACCCATATAGGAGATGAGTATTAATTAGGAGAATAAACTTTCACTAGTCCCCACATAAATCTGAAAAATCCAAAAATACAACCCTGTAGAGAATGGGTCTCTCTCTCCCAACTTTCAGTTCCTCTCTTATTTCCAATCAAACCAAAGTACCAAATAGAACTTTTCATATAGTTATCCTACCTGGATCTTTAGCAATATCCAGATCCATATCAAAAGCTTCCATTTTAATATTCTTAGCACCTTGTCACAAGATATGCTAATAGCATTCATCTCCCAAAATGCATTTCCATTTCAATCACCCTCATATTCTTCTCTCTCTCTAAAAAAAAAACCTCACTCTACTCTCAGTCCCCCCTCTCATTTGGAGATCGGCTTCAGTCAGGGCAAATCCATGCCCACACCGTTCTAACAGTCTTTTCCAACCTTGCATTGGGGATATCTCCCCATGAAATAAAACATATAAGTATGGAGATATTCTCAATACAAGGCAGTAAAGGCTGTCCGAAGAGAATTTGCCCTGACTGAAGCCCAACTCTCTCACATTTGGTGGTTTGGACCATGGACCCAAAACAAAAGATTGGTAGTCTTTTACAACATATCTCCATTTACCTTGTATTGTTTCCGAAAACCGCAAGTATTTGGAATTGAATTGAATGATGGACCCGATCAAAGGCAATGAACCCCCAAAAGCCAACAAATATCCAATTTACCAACTACTGTTCCCCACAACCATGTTTGACCCGCGTTTATAAATATCCAATTTATAAACAAAAACTCTGGACACACGGCATCTAATTATTCTTAGGAATATCTCCCTTGTTAAATTTATGGAGAGATGTTCTCAATAAACTTGTTCATGGGCCGGGTCAGGCTTTGTTTATGTATCAACAKAATACATTCAGGCCTAAGCCCGGGCCCGACTCGACCATTGAGCCTAGGTCTTGAGTTCAAGCCCAATCTTCATACAAAGTCTAAAGTCCGGCTAGAAATTTAATAACAAAAATTTTGTTTTTTTATTCAATAAAAACGTGTTTTATTTATATTAAAAACCTTCAAAACTCACAGGTTGAGTTTTTTTTTTTTAAAAAGCCCAAACCTAACCCAAAAAAATTGAACCCGATACTTTAGACCCCAAACCCAAACCTACGAGCTTAAAATTATGACCAAACCCAATTTATAACGGGCGGGACTATTTAACTACCCGGCCCATCAATAGGTCTAATCCTCAATATATGACTGGATGCCTATCTCCAAATGTATGTTAATTAGAATGTAAAGATTATAGGCAATAATATCTTTACGCATCTACCTGGATACTAGGAATATCTCCCACACGGATTTGCTCTTCACAGAGCATGCTCCCAATTACTCACAGCATTTGCAACTACACCTAAACATATTGTGAGCTGGTGTGAACTGTGAAGCATGCTTTATAGAGTCTGGCTCACCTGTTAACACTTAACAATATACGTTCCAATAGCCAACATCATCACACACCGCACATCTTTTATGATCGTCGCAATTTCGTTGACCTCACAATCAGATCTCACTTTGTATTGAAAACATTTCTTATCAATAATAAGTTAATAACTATCAATAGTGACGTATAATTGCAGGAGATATTTTCGATGTACGGCTGGAGATGTATGATATCATATAAATTGGTAGGATGATGTAAGGTGTTTTGTTGGGATTTGGCCATTTGGGAAGAGATCCCAATTCCTGATGTACGCATACATTTTGCTTATAGGGAATCCAGGGCGTTAAATTGATCAGAGATATTCTCAATGTGCGGCTAGAACTGGAAGAGGAATCCCATGATTTCAGTATGTGCACTGTGTACAGAGTTATTAATTGGGAATCCCGTCGTCGGCTTGTAGCAAATCCTGGACTCGTTCGACCCGAAAATTGTGCGATTTGGCGGGGTTGGCGAGTCCCATCAAGAACAAATTGACACCTCAAGGCTCGAGTTCAAAGACTTCGAGTGGCAACGACTGGTCACGTGACTTACGTCACCCATGATGTTACATTTACGGCATCGGGGCGGGGAGGTTAACTCAAAAAGGACGAAATCGTAATTAATATCAAAGGGAAGGGCATTCCCATAAGAAAATGAATGATTAGCTGATTTTGCTACTGGTGTTGTTATAAAGGAACTCACGCCTTTCGTTTCTCATCTTTTCTCGTGAACACGTGGTTGTCCGCAACTGCCCATCGGCTGTTACGCTTACGGATGGGAAAAAAGATGAGATCCAGAGTCCAGGAGGAGAGAGAGGGAAGCCCTGACTCAGCGGGGCCAATAATGGCCCACCCATAATGGAGTTATTAAAAAGTGGTAGGCCCCATTCACCGTGAAAATCTTCTCCATGCACCTCAACGCTGCACACGTAGGCTGTTGAAGGAAGCCAGTACCATCACCTTCTCTCTCCCTCCTACAGACATACAGACACAGACACTCACTAGACTGTAGTCAGTGTTTCGATTATATTGCTCACGCCTCCCTAGTGGCGTCGAGCTCCGGACCAGATCGTTCCTCTGCTCCCTTCTCCCTCTTTCAGTCCGAAGAAAAAAACCCTAGAAATGGTTTACACGCTCTCTGGAATCCGCCTGCCAACTTTTCCTCCAGTCTGTAGTTTGTCTCCGTCGAGCATCAATGGCGATCGAAGAAGTGTTAACTTCTCTTTCCTCCTGAAAAGAGACCCATTTCCTCGTAATCTCTCTCTCTCTCTGTCTATCTCTGTTCTGGTTGCGGACTGGGACTTTGTGTGCTGCCTGCTTCCTGCTTCTTTTTTTCTTTTATATTATTTATTTATTTATTTTCAGTATTTTGTTTTAGTAGTTTATATATTTTTCTATCTGATTTTATTGTGTGATTTTTTCATTTTCACAATCCGAAGTTTCTTCTTTCTGTTGGAGATATAGCCAAAATTTCTTCCTTGCTGCAAGTCAATTTACTGGTTTGCAATTGGTGATTTAAAGGTTAAACGTTGAATTTGTTTAAGTATCGTTAGAAGGCTGAGGTGGTAGGAACTTGATAACATCTAGGATAGTTTGCTAATGGCCCACTTTGCAGAAGAAGTGGAGATTCATTTGCTAGTAAGATTTGAAGTGGATGATGGCCTAAAATTTCATTAAGAAGCAATGCTGTTTGATTTGCGTGGAACATGTTGCTTAAGTTGAGATATGTGCGGCATAATTAGTGGATCAGTGATGAAAGATGTTGGAGGAGGGAAATTTAAACATAATTACTTAAAATGCATTACTTCGGAGCATCAGCTTTCATTTTCTGCCCAAGGGTCGGACTGTATTCACGACGGTAGAGCCGGCTTCTCTGTTGTTCGTGCATTTTTGAGTTGACTTGAAGTGGAAAAATCGGTGTTACTTCGCTATTTTCTTGTTTCCGCGGTGTATTTTTTGAGTTCATTTTGCAATTTGAATATCAGAATGTGAATTTGGATTTTTGTTTCTTATTCTTGGAAAGAATGAACAAGGTTAGGTCCATATCCAGTCGACCCCTCCCAAGACCCCAAATAGCTGGGACCAACATTAGGGAATGACCTTTTTTATTTTTGGAAAGAAAGAGGTAGTGGAACATTCTGGTGGTAGGAAATTGCAGGTTGATGAAGCAAGAGGTTTGTCTCAAATTCAACTGATTGAGATTGGTAATGGCTTCTCTGGACCATCTTCAGTTGTCGATTGGAAGAATAACTGCGGTGGCATCGTTGCAAGAGAACTTATGAACTTTGAATAATGTACTGGATAGAAGATACCAGTTCATGATGTAGTGGTAAAAACAAGGAACAAGGGTATAGAAAGCTATGTTTACCCTGAGGGTGGGCAAGAACCATGTATAGACATTAGGGCTGGGAAGTGCTTGGTTGCATTTCATTGGAACCTTAGATAATTGTTTTGGAGGAGTAAGAAGGCATGGTTTTCTTCTCGCTGGTGAGATTGGTATTTATAACAAATGGAGAAGAGGAATATATGACTCTCCTTCTGAAGATGAATAAACTTTATCTCAAGGTAAAATATATGGGTTTGTGAAGGGGTGTATGGATTTTACTCATAAAAAAGGGGTATATGGATTTTGGCTGCCCATTATTGAATGAAGATGAAGTGGTTTCTTCTGGTTGGAGGTCAGTTAGAAAATACTTCTGATTGCTAGCCACAAATGTAACAATACAAGGAATGATACGGGAAACTTTATCACCACATCTGGGTACTGTCTTCTAAGTGTCTTTTCTTTTCTTTTTTCCCTTTTATTCTTTTCCCTTTAATCTTGGACAATTGTTTTATTTAGGTGATTTACTAGATAGGTGCTGTTAAACAATTCTCCTCTTGAATCATAGGGCTTACTGGATGTTCTTTTGTAGGGAAGATTTTTGCTGGAAAATCTCCTTATGATTCAAAACCAATTTTGACGGTTGCTGAAACTGAGAAAATCCTAGTTCCTGGTGGTAATTCTGATGTCTCGTCATCCTCAACTGATTCAGGAGAAACTCCTGAAGCCATTTCAGAGGATTCTCAGGTTTGTGCATGATCAGCACCAACATCACATATTTTATTATTTTTTATATTTCTGGTGTTAGTATCAGAAATACAACTTGATTATATTGTATTTTGGTCTTTTGGTCATCTCGATGTGTAGTAATTTTCATTTCATTGATAGAGTTCTATATTGTATTTCACCTTTTGACTTCCTGCATATATGGGTTTTATACGTTACTGGCACTTGATGACCCTAGGTAAAGTAGTTTACGATTAATTGGCAGTTATAGTTTTTTTTTTTTTTTGAAGAAAGTAAGGTAATTTTATTAGAAACTCTATAATCAAGATACAACAAGCCCCCAAATGACAAGCTCCTTGCTGGGCAAAAAGACCAAGATACAACAGGATTACAACTCGCACAGCCGGCATGATGTTTTTTGTTTTTTTTAGTGTTTGTATGGCCTATGCTCATTGTATCATCTTTGTTTTTTTCCTCTCCTTGTATTTTTCCCTCTTTTGCTCCTCTTTGTAGGGTTGTTCTTCAGTGATATCTCATCACCTCCAGATGTACTGCTTTTTTTTTTATTTTAATAAGTTTTCTTTTTATTGATTACCAAAAAAGGACCCCAAGATGTTAGGCTGAAAGCCTTTAGCAGATGCAACCCAAGACACCGGCTTTCCAAAAGGAAAAGAACACTAACTCCTCCACTCCCTTTGACTCGTTGTGAAACACCTTCTATTCCATTCAGCCCAAACAGTGCTGATCACTGCAGCAGGGATGGACAGCCATACACACTGAGCTAACTTTGAGAGACCAGGCAGGTTCCAGCCCCACAGAAGATCGAAGAGAGAACTAGGCATAACCCAGGAAACATCAACTGCAGTGAGATAGTGCCACCAAAGCTGAGAAGTCAGGGCAAAGCAAGAAGAGGTGGTCTGAATCTTCAAGCCCCTCCCCACAGAGTGCATAGCACTGATTCGGCCCCTGCACACCCCTTCTAACCAGATTCACCTTAGTGAGGCATCTATTTAGAGTTGCAGTTCAAACTAAGGAATTAATTTTAGAGGTGGAAACAGAGTTCCAAATCTTATAAGTATCTGAAGAAATTATTATTTTTTTAAACTTTGGCAGTTATAATAAGTACATGAGTAAATTAATTAGAAACTTACTATGCTGTTTTTTAACTTCCCCTCAATATATCAGACTTCGTAATTCAACTATAATGGTAAATTGATACAACACTGTCTCCATTTGTTTTGTTTTTGCAAAACAAAATGGATTCTCATCTATTAGCAGGAGGGCATGTCTTTGCTGATTCCTATTATTCTTTATAAATGACTACTTGGTAAAAGAGTTTTTATTGATATTTTAATTGAGAGAGATATGTTTCCTCTTGTATTTGACATCCTATGCTCATGGATTTATGCATCTCAGGAAGTAGCTGGTTTGCCCATGGAAGAGGAACATAAGATTGATAATGCACAAAATACTGTTTCTTCAAAGCTTCCTAGTGGTGGCAAGGTTGTGGCTGAACAGGATGTTGATGATGGGGGTGCCAAACGAAAGGGTATTCCTCCACCTGGCACTGGACAGAGAATATATGAAATAGATCCGTTGCTGAAGAATCATCGTGAACATCTTGATTACCGGTAATGTCCTCTTTTCTATTAGATGTTTTTATGGCAAAGAAAGAAAGATATGAAACAGAAAAAAGCAGCAAAGTAAGTGGCTATGCCGCTATGTAGCAGGAAATCTATGCACTTGATGTGCATTGCTTTCGGTCCTTTTTGGTAGATCTTTGATTTTTTATTTATAATTTTTATTTGTATTTATAATATGATTTGCAAAAGTTATACAAAAAGGAGCTTGACCAATAAAAAGCTACAAAATGAAACATTACAAAGAGAATGGATGGTTACCATGTATTGTTTGCCCAAGTACGGCCTTTTTAGCCAAAGGCCCAAAGCATCAGCTGGTGAATAAGATGATCTTGAAATTTTGGATTCTAGACAGGCCTTGGAGATCATGAAGTTGACGATCTCTCTAGGTTTTGTATAGCCAGTGTGAAGGTCTTACTAGATCCCAATGGTAAAGATTATGTGATGTAGTATGTATGTTGATAGAAATGGCACCTCTTCTTTATTTCTTTCTTCAAAATTCCTTGGAATCCTTTCCCTAATTGAGCATGTTTCTTTCCTGGGTGACATGGAAGAGCCTATCCCCTCCTAAGTTTGCATGGGAGATGTTCTATAAAAATATTGCAATATGATTCAATAAAGGCATAAGATATGAAATGCTGGAAACTTACCCCATGCTTGCAGAGAATAGAATTTTTCTGTCAGAACAGAATTTCAAGAACACAAAATGGCAGAGAATCATGACTGATGGACTTGAGAAATCTTGGTTGGTTAGGGAGGGAATCAAAGGGATGCAAACAATAAGTTGGGTTAGGGACAGAAGTGCTCAGAATGAGTGGGAAAAACCTAGAGTTGTCTCAGTTGCAAATCACTGATGAGAGGATTATTATTTTGCAAGTACAGAGGGGAGGAGGATGACCATAACCTTAGGCTATTCTTCAGCTGGATGACAGGGTTTTTGGGTTAAGAGCAAATGTCTTTAAATGTAATACTTTTTGGGATCAACCTGAATGAGTTTGGAGTACAGGAGTATCAGCTCCTCGACCTCTAAAATGCTTAGGCTTGCCACTTGGAGGAAATCCAAGAGTTACCTCTTTATGGGACATTGTTGTAGAAAGATTCTCTAAAAAGTTTTATCTATCAAAAAAAAAAAATCTCTAAAAAGTTGCCTTCTTATTGGAGCTTGGTGACTTAAAGAAAGATCATATTCTCAAGTAGGCTAGTGTAAAGCTGGTGTGCGGCTGGAATTGGAGTATTTAGGGGATAAGAATATTGCTTTTTGGGTAAATGGGTTTGGAGATTCCTGATTGAAAGCTAATCTCTTTGGCATTCTACTATTAACAACAAATAGGCTTACATCAGAATAGTTGGGGCTTTGATTCATTCAGCATTGATGGTGACTTTTATCCATGAAAAGTTATTAATGAAGTTCTTCCAACCTTTATCTGGCATATCAGGTCTGACCTTATCTCTGGCCAAAAAGTCAAGTTTTGAGAGGACTTTTTTTTAATCAGCAAAAAGAACTGAGAATTTTATTAAAATGTACTCACTTTTGATATTATATTAAGTCTGATCAATCCCCACAAGGTACAAATGTTACAATTGTGCCCAAAACAATTGTTGCCTATTTACCCCTTGTTTTGCTAGAGTATCAGCCATCTCATTTACAGTCCTTTTTACCCAATTGAATGTAATGTTCAGCTCCTGTTTTATGCTTTCTATTTTCCTGAACTCATGCCTAAGATCCATGGCATGAGCTGTTTATTCTTTGCCCAAGAAATGATTATCTTTGAGTCCCCCTCTACTTCCAACTGCTGAAAGTTTGATTGTTTGGCAAGCCTTAAGCCTTGCAGTAGTGCCATCAGTTCTGCCTTTAGTGAGTCTCGCAACCCCAAGGGACCTGAAAACATAGCCAATACTTTCCCTGTGCAGTCTCTAAAAACTCCTCCAATACCTGCCATTCCAGTGTTTCCCATGGAGTTCCCGTCAAAATTCAGTTTTACTTTATTAGCCGCAGGGGGTGACCATACCCTAACCCTCTTTTCCTTTTCTCTTGAGGAGGCTGCCACTTCAGACCATGCCCTTACGATGTCATTTACTGAAAAATCTTTAAATGCATCAATTGTCTTTATCCAGTGTGCTGCTCTAATTTGAATAACTTCACATAATTCCTCCTTTGATCTGCTTTTCTCATTAAAAATCCTTCCAAACAGTCCATGCTACTGCAGCCCGAATTACATTCCACATAGTTCTTCCCCTCTTTTTTGGTTGTCTTAAGAAGCTTGGGCTGAATAAACACACTATATCCTGTGGAGATATCCACCTGCAGCCAAAAAGAGAGCAGCAGATTTCCCAAATATCAAGAACAAGAGAGCAAGACAGCAATAAATGAGATAGGGTTTCACCACTTGCACGGAAAAGGAAACATATGTGGGGTGAGATGCTAACATTTGGCCTTCTTTTCTGAAGCAGATCACAAGTCTTTCCAAGACAAACTTCCCAACACAATACCTGGATTTTAGGTGGGATAGGCATGCTCCAAACTTCTTTCACAGGGAAGTTCTCCCCCAAGTTATTGGACTGCAAGAGAGCATTAAGGAAGGAAGCACAAGTGAAAACACCATTAGGGGTACAAGACCAAATTCTAGTGTAGGAATGTTTGGCCTTGGTGTGAAAATTTGAGAGAAAAATGAATTGATTGTATTGTCTTGGAAGGAGCATATACACAACTTTATATAGAATTACAGAGCTAATTTACAAGGTGA